TGGCACGGCGGCTCCAAGCTGAGAGAGGGGCCATTGGGCTTAAGTCCTGGCAGGCCTGCTCTCAGCACAGAGCTGTCACACCTCTGTGAGACCAAGTTGCTTCCCTGGGGCAATTTGGCCTTGTCAAGCTCTGTGCTGAGAGCAGCATTGCCAGGGCATAAGCCTGATGGCCCTGCTCTCAGTATGGAGCTGCTGTCTGTTTCAGCGAGACCAGAAAGTCCTGGGGGAAGCTGCTTCCTGAGATCTCTATGGTCTGACTCAGGCTCTGTGCTGAGGGGAGCAGCCATAACTCAGCAAGACCAGAGACCAAGCAGCTTTCCTGAACTCTCTGGTATCACCAAGCTGCAGCCACTCTGTGCTGAGAGTGGGGCTGCTGGGGTTTAAGGCCCAGGTGCCCCACTCAATACAGAGCTGCATCTCCTCAGTTGCAGTGAGAGCAGATAGCCCTGGAGAAGCAGCTTCTGAGCTACAGGCCTCCCTCCCATCCTCCTACTTGGCTATTGTCTCCATGCCCCCACTTGCCAGGCCCTCTGGTTATGCGGGTCAGAAACTACACGAAGCCTTCACCTGTGGCTGCTCTAAAACTGCCCCAACTTTATGACATGACAACATTCCACAGATTTCTGGCATTATACAGGTAACCTGTGACAAAGCCCTTCGCCTTTACCTGTTTTATGTCTGCACTAGTGTGAATACTATGATGTGATAATTTAAATGATTAACCTTTTATTAATTTTCTGTTTGGGAAGAAACTTGCTAGCAAAATTTATCCATGACTTTGTGGGGAAACACTGCCCTCGGTGCAAAGGCAACAATTTTATTATTATTCTTCCACAAAAGTCTTTGCTGCTTGAATTCGCAGCAGCTGGTTTTACAAGATACCCTGCAATATGCTTTCATGCATTTGAGCAAATGTGGGGCAATATTCTATGTAACAGATATGCCTGGTGTATGCTAAACAATAAATCCAGGCCAGAAATATCTTTCTAGTCAAGAGCTCATTTCAGCGGATGTTCTAGGACTGAAACTACTCAAATGAACTGTAACCACCTGGGGTATATAAGCTCCCTGAATTTTGCTGAACAACATGTTTTCTTGCTTTTATAATTTGTTTTTCTTATCAGTTAATAGATGAGCATAGGCATGAGATCATTAATAGCCAATAAGAAAACTCCAGTTGTGCATAGGCTTCTAGAGCCACTCCATATTTGATACAGCACAGTATGACTTCGATGCTTCAATTTTTATTCCTTGAGTTTCTTGATTAGTACTTGCATACAAATGCTTGAGATAATTCCAGATTACAGAAGAAGAAATGTTTTTGACTTCATGACTGCTTTTGATAGGAAGGCTTGTAGCAAATTATATTGTTTAACTGTTCTCTGACCTAGTAACTATTCTATGACTTTTGCTCACTCCTCATTATGTCCTGAATTGGCTACTGAGTAGCCCACGGTAGTTGGTTACTGGAATGAAGATATAATTGGATGAAATGGATGCTCTAAATCTCATTCTGTCTGACTATGAAAGCAGGAGGAGATTAATAAATCACGTGGCGATAGCAGAGGAGGTCGCTTTTCCCTATTTTCCAAAACGTTTAAATTAGTAAATACAAGTAATTGATTTAAATAGCAATATGAAGGGAAAATTCAAAGTTCTGAAGTCTGGGATGGAGATAAATCAAGTTTTTAAATTAAATGAAAGGCTCTAATTGAACCTGGTTAGTGCAACCAACATATTGCTAGCATGACACTTGTAAAGGTGATAGGTAATAAATATTCACTGCCAAATATGGAAGATTTTTCCAAAGGTACATGTGCCTGTTAGATGTGTAAGTACTATTGGCATTCAGTGAGAATTATTATTGTTATTCATGTTTCAGTGGCAAGGTTCAACCATAAATGAGCACTGTGTTTACATGCATGTGCATGCACACACGCAGTAGTAGATAGACTGAAGAATTTATAACATAAATTTGCAAGCCAGATACAAAATGGAAAGGTATAATTCAGTGGCAGAGAGATCAGTGTGAAAACAGGAAATGTTATATATGGGTGAGAGTATATGTTAAAGTTAACTAATGCTAGTGATCATCAGTCACACATTTAGGGTTAATACCCTCTCTAATGTATGCTACTCAAACATGCTGCTGAAGGGCTGGTGAGCAGGGGCATGGCTAGGGGTTGCAAGTTCCCTCCATGCCTGCCCTGCTCATCAGCTCTCTAGCCACAGTATAGGCCAGGGAGGAGGGGGGGAAAGGCCCCCTATGCCACTTGGATCACTCTCTCCCCTGCCCCCCCCCCAATCATCCCCCTGTTCCCCATCAGCTCCTGGATCTCCCCTCCACCTTGCAATAGGTTTCTCCAGCCCCAGATTGCTCTCCCAATCCCAGATCGCTGCTCTGTCACTCCTAGCAGCCTGAGAGCAGTGGTGGCTGCAGCAGTGGGGGAAGGGGGGGTTCCCCTTCCTACCCGCTCCTGGGCTTTGTGCAGCCTGTGCTACCCCCTTGCACATGGATCCATTCCCTACCAGGGCCCAAAGCTGTCTGGCAGCTCCTTGCCCCACCTCCTTCCCCGTGCCTCCCCTTCAGTTGCAGGGTCTGGTGAGGGCTAGATCTGGGTGCATAGGGGTGGCATGGTCTGCCAGGAACCCAAGAGTAGGCAGGGAGGGGGAACCCACCTCCAGCACTCTTGGGATGGGAGAGCAGCGATCCAGAGGGTGGGGGAACTAATGGGGGTAGTAGGAGCAATTAGGGTGGCAGGGGAGTGATCTGAGGTGGAGGGACCAATTTGGGGGAGAGGAGGCAGCAGCTTCCCCCCCCCCAATCCTTCCCCCTGGCTCCTCTACCCCTTTCACTCCTTTCCCTCCTTCCCCACTCACCCCATCCACGTGTTGTCTAGTTGTTCCCAGCTGTCAGTTCAGGGCCATAGATTCTTGGATGATGGCTAGTCCACCTGGGAGCAGTGCCTCCTGGGATACTGGAGGACTTCAAATTGGTGGTTTTATCTCAGGTGAACTCAAGCTAGGTAGCCCAGGTCACAGATAATCCTCACCCAAAGTGATGCAGCTAAGTCACCTAAAGGACACTTAGCACTTGTTAATGACTCTTAATGTGTGATCATTTAAGTTTTAAGTGCTCTTAACATGATCTGTTTGTAATATGTAATCTCACCCTTTGTTCTGCAGGATTTTTTTTTTTTGTTGGGGAGGGGAAGGCTTGTTTGAAGGGGATCATCTTCATCAGTGGTGTCAAACTCATCTGGCTCATGTGGGCCGTATTAGTGGTGCGGGGGCCAGATGTGAAGCACAGAGCCATGTCATCTGACCTACGGGGCTGGACTTTGGTAGTATTAATTACTGTGTTTCCCAGAGCTATAGCAGCCACCTCTCTTCCTCCTACCAAATTTCTAACCTGCAGCTCTGCAAGCTAGATAACATAGCCCCCCATTCTGGGCAAGAAGGAGAGTGAGTGCTGCCATTGCTCTCCATGCTGTCAAATTTCTGGACCTGTTGGGATCCTCCGCAGACTGGATGACATGGCTCTGGTAGATGTATCTTGGGCATCCCTGAAAAGATGCATGGAAAGAAAAGAGGATGAGAAGAGGGAGAGCAGGGAAGAAGTGTGCCTGAGAAGCATATGCAGACTAAAGCTGAGGTGAAAGGATTGCAAGGAAAGGAGGGAGGGTGAGTGCAAGCAAGCAGCACAAGGTATAAAAAGTCCAATCAGAACTGTAGAAAGTTCTCTGAATGTATGTAGGTCTCTGCATTTAGTTGTATGTGCAGTTCTTCCTACTAGCTGGAGTCTCTAGCTGGTTCCCTTTTTCATTTTTTTTTTTCCCCCTTAAGGTGATAAAGTGAGTGGAAGGTGGGAGGCACCACTTGCCTTTTGGTGCCCCCAGAGTCGGGGGATTGTTACACTGCATACATCTAGGTCTCTAGGTGCTGGGGTAAGCGGTGACCCTGGTTGGGCCCTGCTTGTACTCTCTCACTGCCACTTGTACCCGTAAAAGCTACTTTTCAATCCATAGTTGTGAGTTGTACCTAATTTCATGCAAATTGTTTCAAGTTTATCTTCTAATGTGTGTGGGATTTTTTTCCCCTCCTTCAGAGTGCTTCAGTGGAAACTTGGTGGCCTAATGGTCATGGAAACCAAACTGGATACTACATGACAACAACTTTCATCATGGAGGCAGGATACAAGATTGAGAGACTTTCAGAGGTACCCAAGTTCTCTTGATTTAATACAGTTTATACTATGCTAACATCAGGAAGCTCACCTCATAAAATGGCAGCTCTCAGGATGTGTTGTAAAACAATTTGCTAGACTAATTTGCATGCAAGACTGTTACTTAGAAACAGGGGTTGTGTGTGGTTTGTTTTTTTTTTCTTGAAGCTATCAAAATAATTTGATTAACATACTTGCTGGCAACTTTCACCTGTGCTAACAACACCTGCATGTGGATTCAGACTTCAAGACAATTTATTATGAACTGGAGATTTTAAGTGTGAAGGATGCTTATAATTTGTTTAAATTTTCATAGTTAAAAGGTCTGTTTGTTTAAGCTCTTGGAGATTCGTTATGTCACCTCTATGCTTGACAACATAATACATTCAATAATGGGCATGAACTTTCCCTGTAATGGTTTTGTATCACTTTAAAAATTACATAAATAAACTTCACTTACTGAAAGTACATTTTAGAACTGAAACTTCCAGTTAACCTATGTATGCTCTGTGTCCATTTTTTACAAAACCTCTTTGTAATGTGCTGTGAGTTGCAAAGTTCAGTTGCTGGGGAGTACCAGCTGTGTTGGAAAACAGCAACCAATGTGTTAGAGCAGCATAGTATCTGAAATCTGAACTCCTCAGTAGCTTTGGGATACCTTATTTTATCCAGTGTAAATGATATTGCAACACAATTGTTGTATAAAAAAGTCTTTTTCATTACTTACTAGAAGATTTAGCATTAAAAAAGCCACATGCAAATCCTCAACCTGTTGAATAATTCAGACAGAATTTAGGCTGGGACCCATATGGTATAAGCATATGGATGCCACTAAATAAATCTGTGCATTTACTAGGTAGTACTGATTTGTGTTGCTAAGCTAATTAGGATTCTGTGCTTCTGCAAATGCAGTGCTTATTACTGTAAAAAGTCTATGGAAATGATTACCCTTTGTTGTACCTACTCTTATGAGCAGTCTGTGTTTACAGGGTTCTAAGGTTGTTTCTGGAGCCTTGAAGGTAATTTGTGATTAGTATTTGCAGTACAGTTCAAAGGGAAATACAGGATTAGAAAACAGCGGTGTAGGGATACATCCATATAACTGTACTGAGCAAAAGCCTGTCCTTACTGCACAGCAGTAGGGCAGCAAAGTAGTTCCAGAAGGGCAGTTGCTTCAGGGTCTTTCCTGGTGATGCATAACTCATGGTCACTGGGCTAGACCAGTGGTGCTCAACCTGTGGCCCATGGAGTTGTCATAGCTGGTTTGCAGAGCTCCACACAGGTCTAGAAATTTGATGGTCAATATGGCCACCCTCCCTCCTACCAAATACCCAAACCCCCATTCCATGCATGGCCAGTTGGAGCCAAGCTAGGACCCCTCCCCTGTGGGGATGGGCTGTGACC